ATACCTATATCTATACCTATATCTATATCTACTGGTGTTATCTGGGATCTCTGACGGCAGGAAAAAGCCAGGACCCCTGGGCTGGGTGGGGACGGGGGCTCAGGGCTGGCTCCAGTGCCGGTGCCCCCAGCAGCAAAGGTTTGTCCCCCTCCAGCGTCTTCCAGCTCTCCCATCAGAGGTACAAGCCCTTCGTCTTCGCCGCAGAAACGCTGGCTGATTTGAGCATGTGAGTGACGTGCCGGCCGGTGTCAGCCCTGCCACCCCGGGCTGGCTGTGACTTTCTGTCTGTCTGTCCATCCCTTCTCTCCCCAGGTGGGTCAGTCACCTGGTGACAGCCAAAATGAAGTATGGGGCAGCCCAGGAGTCAGTCCCGGCCAGGGAGGAAGGTAACGGGGCCGTTCCTGGGGTGGGAGATGGGGTGGGTTCCCCTGCGACGTGCCGGCCGGTGTCAGCCCTGCCACCCCGGGCTGGCTGTGACTTTCTGTCTGTCTGTCCATCCCTTCTCTCCCCAGGTGGGTCAGTCACCTGGTGACAGCCAAAATGAAGTATGGGGCAGCCCAGGAGTCAGTCCCGGCCAGGGAGGAAGGTAACGGGGCCGTTCCTGGGGTGGGAGATGGGGTGGGTTCCCCTGCGGGAGATGGTCCTGGGGTGGGTTCCCCTGCGGGAGATGGGGACCCCCTGGGGAGCTATGGGCTGGGGGTCCTGATGGGGCAGTGGGACCACTGGGAGCTCTGCCTGTGATTTGAGGGAAATGGGAGAAATGGTCCCTGAGGGGAGGGCTGGGGGGGTACCGAGGCTTCCCCCTCCCACCGTCCTCCCCCCGTGGCCTCCAGACTGCTACAGCGAGACAGAAGCCGAGGACCCCGATGACGAGTCCCCCAGGCATGGCTGTGACTCGGGGAGTGGCCCTAGGGGACATCCCATGGAGGGGCTGGAGGGTCCTGATTCACCCTGTTTCATCCCCCCCATATCTCTCCCCAGCCAAAGAAGAGGCTGCCAAACGCCCCGGAGAAAGCCCAGCTCTTCCTGGCCAGCAGCGAGCCCAGCAGCGCAGCCAGCAGCCCCCAGGGCAGCCCCCGGCCCTGCTCGCCCATGGGTAGGTGCTGGGGGGTCACATCTGTCACCCTGTCACCTTGTGTGAGCCCTTTAATCCAAGTTAGGGCCTCCCTTTTGCGTGTGTGTGTGTGTGCTGGGGGGAGGAACTTGAGTTGAGATGCATTTGGGTGTGAACCGTGTAGTGTTTTGGGATGCCCCATGGGGGTTTTTGGTCACGATGTCCTCTCTCCTCACCTAGACCCCACTGGGGAGGATTTTGAGAGCCTGATGCAGTGCCTGAAACAGGGGGGGGTATCCCTCATCGGGCGGCAGCGGTTCCTGACGCAGGAGCAGTGCCGCAAATCCTTCATCCGGCGCAACAAGAACCCCCACATCAACGAGAAGGTGCACGCCGTGCGAGCCCTGCAGAGCACGCTCAAGGTGGGAGCCCGCAGCCCCCCCCGACCCTCCCAAAACCTCCAAAACCCATGGGCAGCCACCCTAAACCATCCTCTTCCTCTCGGCAGGCGAAGCTGGCGGAGCTGCAGGCCCTGGAGCAGCTGCTCAGCGACGCCGCGCTCACCTCGGAGAAGTTCATGCGCTGGAAGGAAGAGCACCAGGAGCTGCGGGAGTGGTGGGCACGGCAGCAGCACCAGGATCCCGATGGAAGGCTTGGGGCTGAGCATGGCCCCCAAGAAGAGGCGGCTGAACCCCCCAGAGAGGCAGCTGAACCCTGACACCAGGACCTCTCTGCCATGAATCATTGCCAATAAAACTCACGGTGCTGCAGGAGCAAAGCAGGCGCTCTGCCTGCCCTGGGGTGGGTGTGTGAGGGAGTCAGCGCTGGTTTTGAAGGCTCATCCCCCAGCAGGGACTTGCTGCCTTCTGCTCCGTGCCTGGGGTGGGATGCTGCAGCAGCAGTCGTGTTTTGCTGCTCAAGGACATTTTGCCTCGGCTGCTTGTTCACAACAGGGGCTTTTTCCTGGACAAAAGTGCTCCCACCATGCGCGCCGGCCCGGCCAGGGTCTCTTTAGCTGTAAATAAAACTGTGTCAATGAGGGCT